TTAACAACAACAACAATATATATTAAATAGCTATAGAAAACAAAGTTTATTAGTGGTTACCACAGGCAATTGGAAAGGAAGAAGACTGGGGAAATCCCTGTGTAGAGAACACTGAGCTGCTATTGAGAGTGATAGAAAATCCAAAGCAAGCAGTAGCAGTGGTTGAACACGATAATAAGGTCACTGAATTGTAGACCTGAAGAGTGCTGAAATGGCAGACAACGTATTGCATACACATTTCTCAAATAAAATACATTTTAAAAATAAATTTTTGAAAAATATTTGAGATCATCAACTTCGCAAAGATCTCAAGTTAATAATCTCTTTCAATAATCTTACCGATTTTCTAAAAATTTTGATTTATGCCAGACATATCCCTAACAATAATTTTGCACATGGTTGGAGTGCTTATTCAACATGGTATCTTTTTTTTAGTTGATTACAAGAAACTCTGTATCTATGCAAGAGATGCAATTTCGATTTACAAATGATTCCCAATTATTTGCACATTTTAGACAATTTACCTAACTTCTTCCTCTTTGCTCTATTATTTCCTTATAAAATTATGACAATTATAACACTGTTATAAGGTTTAACATACTTAATTTAGGTAAGGCACTTTCAAGTGTCAGACAACCAATAAATATTAGTTGTTAATAAGTTGCTAAAAAAACAAGAGACTGAGAGAGAATGGATGCTAGGGACACCTGCGGAAGGGTGTAGAGAAACTAAATAACTGAGCGGTCAGGGCATTAATGGTTTTCTGGTGACTTTTACAACCCTAGAAAACTTCATGAATCTGAGGGGTTCAGATAACAAGGACTTCATCCCACATCCCTAGAACAAAACAGTGTATAAAGTACTGCCATATGGGATGCCTTACAGTAGTTCAGAAAGAACAAAAAAATTATAATGGAAAAGGGGGTGAAATGAAGAAAGGCTAATCAAAGATGATATTTTTGAGATTTGAGTAAAAGTAGGGCAACATGATGGGCTGTGATAGTGGCAAAAAGAACAGGAACTCTAGAGAGGTGAGCAAATTATTAAGGGCATCCCTGAGACTTTATATGGCAACAGCATATAAAACGGAATTCCCTTCCACAGGTTGTGTCTATCTTCTTCATCACTAGGACCCTAGTTTTTCTCTAAAGTAGTTTATTCTGGTGAATAATATATAAGTACATAAAGTTATTTACTCCCTAAAGACTGCTAATAAGAGAAAATGTGACAAGGTGGACCTAAATTAAAAACAATTCCAATGCCACAGGATGAGCCTGCCTCTTTCTCTTTGATGACTTGTGATGTTGCTTTACTGTTTACCATTTATATATTTGTCTTATTAAATAGGCTAATCAGAATTATATTTGGAAAAAATAGTGAATTTTACTGTATGCAAATTTTAAAACCAGTTAGTCTACTCCATGAGCTACACATCAGTTTCTCTGTATTTTAAGTACTGGAGCTTTGTAATACATTTTTGTGTAGTCATTGCTTACTATTCAGAAATATTTAAACACAGAACAGATATCACCCATTTGCGATTATCAATATGTTGTTGTTGTTAAGTGCCATCTAGTTGGCTCTGACCCATAGCGACCTTGTATAAGGTTTCCGAGGAGCGGCAAGTGAGCTTGAACCACCAACCTTGCAGTTCAAACAGCTCTGCAGTCTGGTGTATTAACCCACAGTGCCACACCAGGACTCCATCAATAATATGAGGGAAAAAAAATTAGAGATTCAGATTGTTCTAGAGGCACTCTAGAGAATGGTTTAGAAGAAAACTAAAAGCATAAATTAAATTCTCAGATAACAATGAATTAAGAAAAGTATACATTATAAAAACAATACATTAATCTGAGTTTTCTGTGATTAGTAAAAAAAAAAAAGGCTAGCAAACAGTGTTTTGGGTTCAAATCAGATTCTTAAAAAATTAAACTATGTTTTCAACAACAACAAAAACAGGAAAAAATGCATATATTTTAGAATAAGTAAGAACAAAGAGTAAAGCTAAGCTGAAATTACTGCTACTTACTTGTTTCTCTCCATATATCAATAAGCACATGGACACCAAGGAGGCAGTAATAGTCTGAAAATTGCAATTCTGTTTTCAAGCAGGATTTTCCTATTGGGAGAAAATACCATATCTTCATTTTAACATTTGTTTAATTATTAATGTCCAGAAGGAGTTATTTAAAGCAGGAAAGGGATGGGAGAAAAAAGAACAACAACGTACTTACTCTTCACTTGTTGACTATCTCACTATCTGATATTTCATTTACAACATTAGTTTTAAAACTTACTACTACTTTGCACATTAACAATGCATGTCTGGCAGTAAAGAATGCCAAGGTATAAAGCAAGAGTGAGTCTCATTGTAACAGTCAAGATTATGTGTCAATTTGGTTGGGCCATGATTATCAGCAGTTTAGCACGAGTTTTTAAAAACAATTTTTGAATAATGCGAATTTTTTTATAACAACCTAGTCTTTAGGGCCTAACCATGTCAATAAGTGAGGAGTAAATGTATAAACTGTAAATCGAAGGGCTTGAAAGAAAGCCAGCAAAAGCACACTCAACTCGAAAAAGGAGGACGATTCCAGAACAGAGATCATTTGACAAGGTCCCAAAGAGAGGAAAAGTAGTAAGATTTGGAAAGAGGAGTAATTTGAAGAAAAGAAAATAAGTCAAGGACCATGTATAACTAAATTAATAGTATACTCCTTATTTGATCCTACATTTTGGAACAGAGCTACAGAAATACTGACATATTGTTTTGAGGTCATTTACATTTCTAGCACATATATGGAGTAGAGGCAAGGCAAATCTGAAGGTCTTCTGCTTCTAAACTAATTTCATAATTAACAATATTTGATCACTTACATATTCCACATACTAAAAATATTACAGCCCATAAGGAGAAAATCTAACGATTATTATAAAGCCTACGTAGTTCAGGAGTCCCAGTGGTGCTGTAGGATAAACACTGGACTGCAAACCACAAGGTTGGCAATTCAAACCCACCAGCTGCTCCTAGGAAACCCTGTATAGGATCACTAAGAGTTGGAATCAACTTGAGGATAACAATAATGTAGAAAGACTTAACCTTCACCAAATCCATACGGCTATGGTCAACTGGAAACCAATTATAACTATTTACAACTCCAAGCTGAAGAAACGTTTTACATTATATTACTTGGATGATCTTCGCACTTGACTAAATACTCTCCTGGCCAAACTCATTAAAACAAGGGGCTATGGTGAGGGAGGAGCCATGGTGGCATAGTGGGTTATCAGGTGGGTTGTTAACTATAAAGTCAGCAGTTTGAATCCAACAGCCACTCCAAAGGAGAAAGAGGAGGCTTTCTGCTCCCATAAGTATTTACAACCTCAGAAACCCTATATAGGGCTACTATGAGTCGGAACCACCTCAACAGCACACAACAACATGATGAGTGTGGTTTATAACTGGACTTGTAAGCTTCAGCAAATCAGGGAACTACTGCACATTTTAAAAGATTGCTCACCAAATTCTAATCCATGCTGGTACCTTAGCATCAATTCTCTGACCACATTCAATTTCTGACTTTTGTCCATGGTGTGGTATAAGCCAAGTAACCTTGTCAGTTGCACCACACACAAATGCTGTTGCAGAGCTTTGATGTCAGCAGGCAGTGCCAGCTTATCCTCTGTTGGTGTCGACAAAGGAACAACTCCAAGTAGCTGGTTGATGAACTGCAAAGCGAAAACAAAGGAGCATAGGTCTCAAAACAAAATTAAGGTGATCCAGAATGAGATCAAGAAAAATACAAATGTCATACACTGCTTTTGAAAATTTAAGATGCTCAAAGCACTTATATTTATTGTATTATTCATTAGCCTATACTTTACTGAAAGGAGCTCAGGTAGCGTAGTGGTTACAAGTTGGGCAGTTAGTCTCACGGTCAACAGTTCAAAAGGACCAGCAGTTCTGCAGAAGAAAGATGAGGCTTTCTGCTCCTATACAGATTTACAGCCTCAGAAACCCTGTAACAGAGTCACTGTGAGTCAGAACTAACTCCACGGCACATGACCACCACCACACTTTACTGAATATATCTGAACCTATCACATCTTATTGTACAGGTAGTATCAATGGTGAACTTGATTTACTGTTGTGAACTTAAACATAATCATGTTAACTCCTGGTTGATCATAATTGTATTAAAACATATTACTGAGATCTGAAAAAGAAAAAAGAAATATCAATTAAAACCCCCTGAGTTTCCCATGTTCTAGCTACCTAAATAGCAAAAACAAGAACATTAGAGACAGCACACAACGCTGATGAAGTGCCAGTGACTCACTGGTTGCTGGTCAAAAGAGTTCTGTCAAAAGTCATTGTACAATGGGAATGAAAAGATTAGAAAAATTATGGACCTGTTCCATAAACTATAGCACATTAATATAACACAGCAACTTAAAAGTATAATTATGCCCCAAGGATTTGAAAGCAGGGACTCAAACAGATGCAAGTACAACAAAGTTTGCAGCAATATTATTCACAATAGGCCAAAAGTAGAAAGAACCCAAGTGTTCATCACCAAATGACTGGATAAAAAAGAAAAAATGTGTATACATATGCAATAAAATATTAGACAGTCATAAAGAGAAATGAAATTCTGGTCCATTATACAATATAGATGAGCCCTGAAAACAGGCTGAGTGACAAAAGCCAGACATAAAGGGACAAACAATCTATAATTCCACTGATATAAAAAAATATCCAGAATAGGCCAAATCGAGACAGAAAGTAGTTTAAAGGTTACCAGGGGCTGGGAGAAGGAAGAAATGGGGAATTATGGCTTAATGGATACAGTTCCTGTTTGGAAATAGACAATGGTGATGGTTGCACAATATCATGAATCTAATTAATCATGAATCTAGTTAATGCTACTAAAATATAAGCAAAGATGGTTAATGTTATATTATAAAGATTTTACCATAATAAAAAAGGTATAATTTTGAAGCCTGTAGAAAAGAACAATTTTGCCAATAAAATATACACTACAATTCTATTATCATACTTATAAACTCTTTTAGGAAATGCAATACATTAAAAGGAATGGTCATGTCATATTAGAAGCCTAGAATGTTTGTTTCTATTTTGACTAAACTTTCTGAGAGAATTATTTTCAGGTAACTGTAGATCCACATGTAGTTTTAAGAAAAATACAAAAAGACCCCATGTATCCTTTTCTGTGTTCCCAAATGGCAACATCTAATGCTGAAATGTTTTTATCTTTTTTCATTAAAAATAAAAGCTAGAGCAAAAACAGAAAATACTAGCTTCAGTTATAAACATATGCCTACTTTCACTTCTCCTCAGAAATCCCATTAAGATTAGATAACACAGAAAAATCAAGAACAAGTGAAGAGATGGCAGAAAATATACAAATTAACAACATTTCAGCTGATTTCTAACATTATGCAATGCAGAGGGTATGACCAAGAAGCATGCTAAGGTACAGATGACATTGAAACTAGAAGGATTTACTGAATTCTGTCTAAGAAGTTAGATCCCACCCCAAGCTCAGAGTGGCTGTCTAAAAGCCCAGAAGTCTAGCCGCTGCTTCCAGAAGCTGAACCATACACTGTGGACTCAGAAAGAGCAGCTATTGCAAATAGCTGAAATCAGAGGACAAAGCACAACTTTTCATCAATAATAAGAGCTTCTACCAACTCACCCTTAAACCTGGATCCCAAAAACACTATTAGCCAAATATGTAACGTAGAAAGAGGTTCTATGAACGTATTTCTGGGAATAAGGGTGGCAGCTTGGGTAATGAAACAGACCTCATGTTGTAGACTACACTAAGAGGAGTCTGGATCTATGGTTCTTTCAGAATGTTTGAGGTTCATCAAATAAATAAAGAATATTAATTCAAAAAACAGAGAGGGTGGGTGAGGGGATGGAGGGGATGGAGGGGAAGGTGGACCACAGGGCAGGGATTAGACACAGGATAGTTTGGGTGCTAGGGAGGGGGCAATATATAAGTAGGGAGAGGGGAATGGAAG